GGTGGGAGAGCCCAGGTCTCCAACGCGGTGTGCCAGGGCCAACGCTGCGTCCCTCGGGGGGGGCAGGGCCCCGCACCGTGCCGGCTCCTGGTCCCAGAGCCAGCTCGGGCGGCTCCACGGGCTGACGGAGGCCACAGACCCGTCCCCCCCCAGCCCAGGGCACCACGACTGCCCTCTGCGCCCACACGCACTGAAAGAGGGAGCGAATGGACAGTGCAGGTACTACTCACTGTGTTACAACTAACCTACATCGACCTGTCGCTTCAGTGGAGGTTTACTTCCACATCTCCTCCTTCAACACACCTAACGTTAGACATTCTAGACAGCATTATTAATAAATATTCATGTTATCCATTCTGAAACTCTATTTAAGTGGCTATTGTATTACTGATCCACGCTCAGAAAGAAAACCCTCCTGGGCATTGCTAGGTTTGAGTTTGTTTTTCTTATAATTTGTAAGGATTTTGTTTTTACTGTACTGTATAAACGCTCCTCTTCCCCAGCTCTAAATGAGAGAAAGAAGCTGTGATCACGTTTTTCCAGCGCCATCAGATTGCAGATGCAGCAGGTTAGCAACGCCCTTGCCTGCAGGACGTGGGGAGCGCAGCCCTCGGTCCCCCCGCGTGCTTCTCTCAGGGGCTGGGGTCCCCTGGGCAGCACCGGTCCGCGTCCCGGAGGTCCTTCCTGAGAGGGGACCCAGGGGCGGGGGGAACCTGGCATCACCCCACCAGGCGCAGTGGGGAGCAGCTCTGGGTTCTGTAAAGCGCTGGGCATTAGCACTACCAAACGATCACGTGTAATCACACATTTTAATTAACGGGGTTCGACAGTCCCAGGAAACGAGGGAGAGTCCTGCTTGAACATGCGGTCCAGCCCCGCCTGCCGGGGCTCAGGCCGAGGAGAGCCCAGGCTGAGCCCCAGCCCAGGCGGCTTTAGGAGGGAGCAGCTGGGTCTCCTCCTTCCCCCAAACCACGCCTGACACCACATTCCATGTAAAGAGGAAATTTGTAATTTTATAAATGTATTTTTATACTGCTTTTTTTTCTATGTGTGCACATGAAATAGGCAAACACGCTGCTCCTGCTGCTGTATCCAGCCCTTCCCGGTGTGCTGAGGGCACGGCGGCCATCGCGATTGCGCTGTTTCTGCCGCAAGCGCAGCCCCGCTCTACGGTAACCCTTGTTGGTGTTACTTCTGCCACAGCTGCAGCTCCAAATGGAAGCCATGTCACACAGTCAAGCCAATGTGTTTCTTTCTAGCTGTACTAATAAAAATTTACAATCATTTTCCAAGTAACTGCTCCGTTGAAAGTGTGTTTTAATCTTTAGAGAGATGCCATGACAATATGGAGGTGTGAAGTTACAGCTTTTGCAGTAACGCCTAAAAACAGCCCTCAAAAGGTATTTGCAGCCCCTGGTCTGGGTTTTTTAAGCAGCCCTGGCAGCACTACACCGCTTGTGGAGGTCCTGGCACTGCCTCCACCATACAACTTCCAGTTTCTTCTGCGTGTATGCTTCCGATACAGAATGTTAGCCAAAAATATTCGAAGAACTAAAGCTGAACTCCAATCTGTCTGAACATGTTTGGTTACAAGGCTGTCCTGAGGAATACAACAGGCTGGACATCACCTCCTCCTCTGAGCTGGAACGCAGCACTTCAACACCAGGCACGCACGCTGAAATCCAGGCAATGCTCAGCGCAGCCTGCGCCCCAGCTGCAGCCCCCAGCTCACGGCACAGCAAAAATGTATTTTTTTCTATAAATACTGCACATCAAGGAGTGAGTTAAAGCTCTGGAGGTGTAGCTGCAAAGTCTGGGGGAGCTGAAGGTGGCTGGTTTGTTTTAAACTGATAGTCAGACATGTAAGTGCTGTGCTTTCCTTCACAACATCTGGCAGGCACCTGTGAGAGGACCGTAAAAAGCTTGTTTTCACAGCAGAAACGCCAGGGCATGCTGGGCCGAGGCGCAGGAGGGCAGCAGCAAGCAGGGGACCGTAACTTCTCCAGTACTAAAAAATAAAAACAAAAGAAACATTCAGCTGCTGAGAAGCAAAGGGAGAGCGATTTGCCTGCGCCCTTCATTTGGCACTGCTTTAGATGTGGCCAATTAGCATTCTGAAGCTTTGATTAGCGACGCCTGCCTCTCATCTCCCCTGTGGTAGCAAGCAGCCAGCCATGAGGTAAGCCTGCT